CAAACCTACACTTCATTATCCTGTTAAAGTTCAGGACATTGTGAACTGTTGTTGCTATTATTGGGGCTGCTTCCTTGTTTACCAAGACTAAGGCAAGTCCTTTAGGCCTTAGGCTCTAAACAATTATTAATGAGCTAAATGTATACCTTTATTGATCTAGGAACGTAGACCCCATGTACAGGGCCAAACTGTCCAAAGTACTTCCTTAATTCTTTCTCCTCGAAGTGTTTGGGGAGATGAGATACTCGCAAGCAAGTAAATCTCGGATTCGGATCCTTAGCAGGCCTCTTCATGTCGTATTTCGTAATTCCGCCACTTTATGAGTAAGAAAAAAGTAGTCCACACGCTGAAGCAGAACAATCCATTTGATTCATTTAACTGAAGACAAATTGATAAAGGACGTTAAGCGCTCTTTTTTCAACGTAAAATTGGTATTTACCCGCGGGGCGACTGTATGTGTTACAAAATTGCAGAGGCTATTTTTGGAACACCAGTATGTTAAGCCTTCTTTTAAAGCCTTCCAACGGTGGTAACATCACAACATCTGCGAGCGGAACATTCTATCTTTGAATCACCCTTGAAGAGAATCAGAACATCTGAACATCCAATTTTGCCTGTTAAATGCCGGACCTTGAAACTTTTATGAGGCAGATGTGTAAGGGTATTGGTGGCTCTCTTCCGTTTGTTACGCGTGGGAGCCTACGAAGACAGTGGCTAAAGAGGTTGTTCAGGTATCTATTCCGTACCAGTTGGTGTCGAAGATTCCGTAGTTCTCGCACTCGTTCTCAGGCCCAGTGAATTATATATGTGCATGTTTGGAGGGTTGCAGCCAGGGAATATCCCTGAGGACCCTAGTAATGTAAGGTTATTATATAATTCTTCCAGTTAATATGATTTTCTGCATTTGCTCTCTAGAAACTGCTCCAATATACCGCAGTTATGCGCCATTTGGTGGTCACTATGGCAGTTGTGCGTGTGAGTGGTGCTGAGTTTGCCATAGGGCCTGCGCGTGTTGAAGACGTCAAGGAAAGGCAATTGTTCAATTATCTTTTCTTCTCTTTTGAATTGGATGTCGCAAAAGAGGCCATAAAGCATGCCCTTGCAGTTTGCTAGTCTTCTCCGCTCGATTATAACTAACACGTTGACCACGTATAGGCACCAGAACACAGTTTATTGTTTGATGAAGGGGCGAGAATGATTAGTGAGGCCAAGGCGATATTGGGAAACCAAGGTCATTCTGTCTTACGGGCACCTGGTAATAGGGGGTTATATCGGTGGGGCAGTAAACCGACGAGCTATGGACGGGATAACTGGAAATAATAATGGGAATGAGAGCCGCAAAATGAATGATTGTTTTAATAAGAAGATAAAGAAGGCCGAAGGGTGTAGGGAGAGGAATGCGAGCGCAAAGTTAACGCTTCAGTGACAAAAAATCAACCGGGAAGTATGCTATTGGTGTGAATGATCAGGTAACAGAATATTGAAGTCCAAGGAAGCGTAAAACTGACCGTGCGAGAGTGGCAACCAATCAGGGCAAGGCAACATTGTGAACGGGTAGCATTAAATGTGCGCGTAGTGTAAATCGTTTTGGCAGA